ATTGATAGCCTCATCTCTCTTCCTGTGAGCTTTGTGGAGAAGGGTGTGTCTCTTCCCTCCAATCAGCTCTCAGAACTCTCCTTACTGAGCTCTGCAGAGTATAACTTCAGGTCTCCGCCACCTTTTTCTGAACTCTGATAAGCTTTAAAAATTTAGCACTTTGAAAGAATGTAGAGAAAAGAAGACTGCAGATAAACAGGTAGAACTTATGCAGTAAGATTTGTTTCATCTCTGTGTAATACCTGAAACCATTGACTTCACTGATGTAGCGACAGCCATCTTGTTCAGGTTTTTTTTTTCATGAGCCCAGTAATCTTGCCCCTTCCCTTCTCCTGCAATCTATAGAATCCATAGCCTTAGCTTTCAACACACTTCAAAAAAGCCTGTTATCTCAACTTAGGGACAGCAGATGCCATCACACAGGCCTTGGTAAGAGCTGTAAACAGCTAATTGAGTCCTGGCGGGATGCCGTTTCTACTAACTACGACAGAAAAAGGAAATGTCAGGACCTTGTGACAGCTCTCATTTAACACCAACCAAGGAACATCTAACCGAATTTGAGAGCAACTGTACAATATTTTGCTTGATCAGTTGGACTCTGCTAAAACCCTTCTCTTTCCTCACTGGCTGTGACTGACAGCAGAGAGTCGAGAGAGCTGGATTGAGATTGGGCTCAGGTAAGTATTTGTGGGGGATGGGGGAGCTACATGCAGAATGTTTGCACCTTAATCCATTCTATGCATTAACCAGTTCCCACCCAGCCTATAGGAGGATTACGGCTGAGTGGGACTTTTGTTGATCTGGGTGGACGTCATATGACATCCTCCCGGATCGCCGCCTTCGGTGGGGCCGCACTGCGATGAGATCTGTCACTGGCTGTGTCCAAAGGACACACCCAATGAGTGAACTGTCTACCAGCCCATTGCCAGTACCATGTGACTGCTGTGACACAGCAGGTCACATGACAATTGTAAACAATGGATGGCTTCCTTTCATGCCATTCATTGTGGTGTTAGCTTTTTTTTTTTTTTTTCAATCCTTCATTTTCAAAAAAAAATGACAAAAAAAATATGCAAAAAACTCATCATGCCTCTTCCTAAATACCGCAGACTATCTCCTTTCCAAAAAGAGGTAATTTGGTGGCGATATCTGTACTGTCCTGATATTTTTTGGCCAAAAAAATGAGATCAGTGTCATCAGTACATCGGGATTAATCGATTTTCAGATATATACCATAGTTTGTGGACTCTATAATTTTCCTACAAACTAAATAATATACACTAATGTGGATTATGTTCCCCAAAGAAATGTAGAATACATTTTGGCCTAAATTTATGAAGAACAATTATTTATTTGCAAAATTTTATAACAGAAACGAAGAAACTTGTTTTTGGGGAGTTTTTTTTTTCAAAATGTTCGGTCTTTTTTATTTAGCAAAAAATTAAAAACCCATTGGTGATTAAGTACCACCAAAAGAAAACTCTATTTGTGTGAAAAAAAAAAAATGATAAAAATTGAGTTTGGATACAGAATTACATGACCGTGCAATTGTCATTTGAACTGTAATAACGGCGAAAGCTGAAAATTGGCCTGAGAAAAAGAGGGTAAAAGTGCCCTGTGTTGAAGTGGTTAAGGTAAAAAAAAAAAAAAAAAAAACCTTCTGCCTTTAGAACCACTTTAACCACTTGGCAACCGCACTATAGCTAAATGACGGCTACAGCACGGTTGTCCAGTTCTGGGAGGGCATCATATGACGTCGTCCCAGTACATGCCCCCCTTGTGCCCCCAGGGGCACGCATCCAGCGATGTGATGTGGTAAAAGGCCAATCACAGCATTTTACCACGCAATCAGCTGTGACACATCAGATCACCTTGAAAAAACAGTTGCCGGTTATCGGCTGCACTTTTTTCTCACGCTGTCACACCGTGAGGAAAGTACTGCCAACAATCGGCAATTGTCAGAGAACAGATCGGCACTGATAATCAGTGCTGCCCAGCAGTGCCACCCACCTTGTGCCCATCAGTGCTGCCCTGTGCCCATCAGTGCTGCCTATCAGTGCCAGCTCATCAGTGCCCATCAGCACTGCCTATCCGTGCCACCTCATCAGTGCTGTCTATCAGTGCAACCTTATCAACGCACATCGGTGAAGGAGAAAAATTACCTCTGCAAAATTTTATAATAGAAACAGAGAACAACTTTGCTCTTTTTTTGTTTATAGTACAAAAAATAAAACACCCAGCGGCGATTAAATACCTCCAAAAGAAAGCTCTATTTGTGAGGAAAAAAATGATAAAAATTTCATATGGGTAAAATGTTGCATGACGCAATTTTCATTAAAAGTGCACCAGTGCTGAAAGCTGAAAATTGGCCTGGGCACAAAGTGGGTAATACTGCCAGGTAGGCAAGTGGTCAATACAAATTCGTAAGTTGTGTCATGACATTGTTTCAGGTAAATGCTAAAATACTGAATCAAAATGTGTACTTGGTAAATATAGGCTAGAATTTTTCTTTACAGTTTGTAAATTGTTCAGTAGGAGTACAAAGCTGACCTGATATACAGTAAGCCTTAGTGATCATTTCAGATCAGTGGAAGATAATATGTGATTGGTTGCCATGGATTACTAACATTTTACACATAATCCTTGCACTTTACAGTATTTTATATTACTGAATATATCCAATGCGAAAGAGTATTTCAGTCAGTTGAAAAACAAAAGCTAGAAGACCATTAATATCATGGAATGCATAGCATTCTAAAACTCATTGTGAACTTGTTATGAAGGAAACTCACCTATGTGCACACGTATTACTGAAAACCCCGGTTGGATCATTTTTATTCAGACTGTATGAGATAAGATGCATGATCACATCTGCTAATGTCCTTTGTTAATGTCATAACAGACAAATGTTTTCTAAACTAAAGGTAATTATGAACTTCTGCATTTTATGTAAAACAATTACTATACAGTGCTGTCTTAGGTCAGGTATAGACAGCCAATATCCAAGTTCTGAGCTGCATCTGTATCCGGCTGCACTTGTCAATTTTGCTGCATAAAGGGCACAGAAATCACAAGGTATATGGTCCTTGTTGATGGGTCTTCTCACAGTGTGTGGATTGCAATACTGATGAGTGGTGGATTGTTGTGTGATAAGTATTTACATCCAAGTAGCAACTAGGATGTGTCCCTTTTAGGTACTTACATATTTATATGAGTGAGTCCAATTGCATCTTGTTCCAGAATAAAATGATGAGGTCACTATTTGTGGGGCCCTTTGTCTGGTCTTCAGAATGGTTTTTGTTTCAAGCAAAATATTCCTTAAACAAGAATGCATCTAAGCTGACCACCTAACATAAGCTGAATATAATTATGAAAATGAATAAAAATAGTTTCTTTAATCTGTTCTCCGAAGAAGCATAAGCACTACATTGATGGTTTCTTGGTTGCACTGTGGTGTGGCCAGGAATTTCTGCTACTGACACAAACTTGATACACAGAAATCCACGCAGGCAGCATATATATGTAGCAGGTGCTGGGATGTGTGTGGTTAGGTTGGGCATGGCTGTGTTTCTCTGCTTTACAGAGAGACTGTTGGGAAAGTCTAGTTGGGCTCTTTGCTTGATGGAGTGCTGTGATGAATTAGTCAGGTCTGCTCATGATGCTCTGGTGCTGCTGAGTTTGCCTTGGGTTCTGCCCTCCTTCAGGAAGCTTTGAGAGCCTTCCAGAACCAGGGAGGGAGCTAGGCAGATGAGCAGCATTAATATGGCCAATTGCAGGGGAGGTCATTCCCATTGCATGCTGGGAGTGTTATTTATGTTCTGTGAGCACATTGGTTCAGTGTCTTTCCCAGGAGCAGGCTGAATGAAGCCAGGCTGGAGGCAGGCATGCCTCGCCTGGCACTGGCTGCCATGCGGGCCTCAGGTGGTCAACCTGAGGGCCTGAAGTTAGAGTGTCCCTGTTTCTAAAGTATGCTGACTGAGGGAGGCTGTCTGCCAATGCTCTGTCTGGTATCACTGGAGGGTTTCGATTGGAAGGAGGCAACCATTCTGTCCTTGGGCCTTGTGAGTACAAGCATTGAGGAATTTTGGGACTGTGTGTGCTTGCTACTCCCTTGGTGCTTGATGGTCAACATGGGTCTGAAAAGGAAAGGGAACACTAGTTAGTGTTCCAAAGAGCTTGTCCAGGTTGCTACTGCAAAGGACTTTGCTCAGGTATGTTACCTTTGGGCTGTCGCAGTCTGTTGTAACTGGCTTGTATCTGAGGAGCTCAGCCTTGTAACTACTACTACCACCAAAAAGAGGGACTTTGCTCACTCTTAAACTACTTGTTGCTACAAACTAAGAGAAGTCTATCTACTTTCAGCCAGGTCTTCAATAGTTCTCAACTAAGAAATCCGTTAGATGTCCTTAGTGTGAATAGTTCTAATTTTGGAGTATCCTACTAAATTCCCCAACCCTGTCCCCAGTTCTAAAATAAAACTCCAAACATCCCCTAGACTGGTCATTGAAGAAAAAGAGCGAAAGAGTGTGTGTACGTGGTTGTGGAGTTTACAACCTTACACAAAAATCCACAAAACGCTATACTGCTAGGGTTCTCTGCATTCAAGATTCTGACAATTACAGTATAAAGCTCAGTTTGACATTGAGTGTAACCTATCTTCTCCAAGTGCCTATGGAAGGATAGACTGCACCTAGGAACTTTACGCTGTGCTTTATACTGTGATTTTTCTGATTAAATAAATGACATAGTCCAAGATTAAAGTGGTCCACTGTAACAGATGAGAGCTAAGGAACAACTGTAGCATTGTATTGGTATTTGCAACTTTTCCTGGGTTTCTGCAATCAGTCAGGGTACTGTAAATTCATTATATTATTTTCCATATTTTTAAGGTCAGTAGTGGTATTTGTAACTGAGAAATACTGATGTAGCTGGGCCTATAATACAGAGCCCTTTCTAGATACTCATAGCTCTGACAGGTCATATTTTTGTTTCCATTGCAGCCTGGAGAACAAATGCATGTCAATCTGCCTCTGTCCCAACAGGTGTCTAATGAGGGCAGGATGTCTATGTCCGAATCGGCGTCTGAATTCTTTGATGCACAGGAAGTGCTCCTGTCTGCTAGTTCATCTGAGAATGAGGTAAGTCTTATGCTTTATCTACCAGACTTGCTTAATAATCTAGATTTTATTTTTATTAGTGATGTGGAGAAAATGGTCTACAGAAGAGTCCCCCAGAAGGTTGATTTTATATATACTGGAAAACTGAACCTATAAATGCCCCAAACATATTTGCATTTTTACTCAAAACTGCCCCAAATTATTACCATTGCAGCTTATTTTGAGTTTAGCAAGGTTGATGTTGATTAAAGTTAGAGATCAGAGTTAATGGTGTCTTAATGGTGTTGCTTCCACTTTCACTTGAATACCTACTGTAGAAACATTTGAGACTGCAAGAAAACATTTGAAAACTGCATAAGACCCTCAAAAGCCTTGCAGAACTCAATCAAGACCAAGTTTACTTGTCAGCACTTTGCCTTACCACCTATTTTATGTACAAGTATAACTTTAACAGACAGAAACATGGCTTTGCAATGAGATCATCAGTGTCTCCCATTGAAGCTAACCTATACATGGAGAAGTGCAGAAAAGCATTTTAAAATGGTTCTAAAGACTGAAGGTTGCATGAAGGTAAAAAACCTTTTGGGTGCAGTTCCCCATCAGCCCCTTATACTAACTTGGTCCCAATCTCGATCCAGCTATGTGCACGGGCGCCTCAGCTGTCCCGAGACGCTTTCCTCATTGGCTCACACAGCACCCAGAGCCATTGGCTCATGCTGCTGTCAATCACAGTCACAGATTGTGTATTAAATGTTAAGGTGGTGGTGGGGGGGGGGGCAGGTGGTTAACCATTGAAGAAACCTACACAGACCAGATACCACTGGAACCAAAGGCTGAGCATTATTAGAACTCTAAAGCACCAGGCTGAGTTGTTAGCAAACATAGAAACTAAAGACAAAAATACAAGACTTCAGATGTACTTTGATCCCTAGAGATCCCTAGACTGGGTTTTGCTAAAATTGCAAAAACACCAAACCCCTTATTCCCCCACCATTGAATGGGGGGGGGGGGGGGGGGCAATCAGAACAAAGTACTACAGTCACCTTTTATGTAGAAGAATTGGGAAAAGATTTAACAAACATTATATCCCAGTGTGTTTCAAGCCCTTAAACAAAAGTTACATCCAACAGATCTAACCCCCAACTACGAGTCAAACTTGGTTTATGCAGTCGAGTCTATTGAGGTGTACAAAGACCTGTATGTTTAGGGATCAAACAATTGCTCAGCAAATGGATGACTCAACTTAGGGGGCAAATTCAGTAGGTCTGCACTGTGCAGTCTTCCTATACCTAAAATTAGTTGCATATTTTAGTGAAAGAACAATTGATTCGAATGAAAGAGACCCTATAAAAAATAAAAATACCTAAATAGGAGTGGAGGCCTTCAACACCATCTGTCACTAACCTTTAATGTTCTTTTTTATTTGTAAATCTGTGTCCCCAGGATTTGAAAGTTATTCACCCCCTTTACCATGTAATTTAATTACCTCCTGTCCTAATACTTTATAGCAACATGGTGATTATTTGATACTTTTGATTTCACAAGTTCTAGCTAATCTCTAGCCTCCACTTAGACAATCAACTGCCTTGGTGTTTATATAACACCATCATTTTTTAATTATTGTGACTGAATTACCCATGTGGGCCTAATACTGTGGTATGTTCTCAACACCCATTTGAACTGGGGAAGCTGCTCTGATGAGTAATGAAACCTCTCCAATATTACAAAATAGATCCAGTTGAATGTGACTATCCAGTACAAATTATTACAGGAACATTCCTTCCTGTGTGTTATGTGTGGCCACCAGTGATTCTAAACAGGGGCAGGTTCAGACCTTAAATCAGTGATGGTCAAATTTCTTCACATGGGGACACCAAAAGGCTGCACATAAAATTATTGAATTATTATTATCAGAGACAGACACACAACTGGGCAGAGACTGTGGACCGAATACAGGAGATGTCAGAGACTGTGCACGTGAGTTGTTGGAGACTGGGGACATGCTTCAGGAGACTTATTACACATGAGGCTGCTAAAAATCACTACTATAACAGGGCAATATGGAAACACAAATACTGTCTGCAGGGGCCCTGAGGGTCACACAAATACAGTAGTAGCAGAGGGCTGCATGCGGCCCCTGGGCCACAGGTTGTGCTCCAGAGCCTTAAATAATTCTGGGTGTTTTTTTAGGTAACAAACTACTTTCTACGCAAGTAGTCTGTCCAGCTTCATTAACTGATACAAATTTATATTTTGGATATATTTAGAAAACTAAACAGGTTTCACCATTAGAAATTGTGAAAAGAGAGATTTTCATTGCTTAGATTGTAGTCCACTAACTTGAATATTTTTTTACTTTCATGCAGGCATCCGATGACGAGTCATACATCAGCGATGTCAGTGATAACATCTCTGAAGATAACACCAGCTTTGCGGATAATGTATCCCGTCAGAGTACGTTTTCAGATTTTCATGGCATTATTTAGAGATACATGGTTTGACAGTGAGTTTGTAGGAACAAGCAGGAATAAAAATAAATAGGTGTTCTTCTATGCGTATGAATGTTTCAGGGTCTGCAAGACTGCAACAAGATATAGGAAAAGAGTTAGGCACAAAGTTTCCAGTGGCAAACAAAAACATGCATCTTTTTTTGCAGGCGCACTGTGGTATTATTTATTCTTAATGAAGCTATAACACATCTTGCTAAAGAATGTGAGATATTTGGTGCCAAAATGTATTGGAAAGAGGGTAGCACAATCTAAACAAAGAAAAAGGAGCTTGCACTACATTTGCGTGATTGTTGCATATAGGATAGCCCATTGAAACTAATGGACTTCCTTACATGCAGGTGTGCTTTTGCACCTGCATAGGTGTGAACTGAGCCTGAGGCTCCAAAGATGTCTGCTCTTTGGTGTACCCTGTACTCTCCTGTACATACTATATATGAAATCTGACTTTTGTGGATCCACTTTGCACCCTCTTAAAGCGGAGTTCCACCCAAAAGGGGAAGTTCCGCTTTAACCGCTTCCATACAGGGCACTTTTACCCCCTTCCTGCCCAGGTCATTTTTCAGGTTTCAGCGCTCTCACACTTTGAATGACAGTTGCGTGGTCATACAACACTGTACCCAAACTAAAATTTTATCATTTTCTTCACACAACTAGAGATTTCTTTTGGTGGTATTTAATCACCACTGGGGTTTTTATTTTTTGCTAAATTAACAAAAAAAAGACCAAAAAGTTTGAAAAAAAAAAAAAAAAAAAAACACGTTTTTCTTTGTTTCTGTTATAAAAGTTTGCAAATAAATAATTGTTCTTTATAAATTTAGGCCAAGATGTATTCTGCTACATTTCTTTGGTGAAAATAACCCAAATTAGGACGTATTATTTAGTTTGTAGGAAAGTTATAGAGTTCACAAACTATGGGATATATCTGAAAATTGATCAATCCTGAAGTACTAACGGCCAATCTAATTTCTTGAGGTCCAAGAATGTCCGAACAGTACAGATATCCCCAAATGACCGCTTTTTGCAAAGTAGACAGTCCGACGTACTTCATAAGAGGCATGGCGAGTTTTTTGAAGTTGTCATTTTTTTGTCATTTTTTTTTTCTCCTATTTTTTTTTTTTTAAGATTTGTTTTTCATATATGACCAAAGTAGTATAATGTTACCATAGTAACATTTTACTACTTTGGGGAAGTAATCAGTATTTTTTTTTTTGCACAATTTGCTTATAGCATAGAATTACTTTGCTATAAGCAAGCATTTACCTGAATGACATCGATTCATTCAGGGTTTTTTTTTTTTTTTTTTTTTTTTTTTTAGCTGAGATTTGGCCACGGCTAATCACATGACACAGCTGGGCTGTGATTGGCCCAGCCTGTGCATGTGATCGCTATGACCATTCACAGCTAGACACACTTGGATACAATGGATGGCATGAAAGGAAGCCATCCATTGTATACAACTGTCATGTGACCTGCTGTGATTGGTCACAGCAGGTCACATAGTACTGGCAAGGGGGGGTCGGTACACAGATCTGTCATCGACCGTGTCCGAGGTACGGCCAGTGTCAGATCGCGGCGCAGAGCGGCCCTGCCGGCAGGCACACTATGCATGCCTGAAAGGACTCCATATGGCGTCCACCTGGAGGGACGAGCTGTGACTGCTTGCGGCTTCACTGCCGGGTACCCACTGCTCATGCGTGAGTAGCGCTGCCTATAGCCAGATGGCGGCCAGGCGGCAACTGGTTAAGGACTGCTCCCCCACTCCCCATTAAGGATTGGCACCTTTGGGGAGCGGGTACCTGAATTTGACAGGAACCTGCTAACCCTTCCGGTCCGATCACCTAGACAATCGGAAGCGGAAGGTGTCCTCCCTCCCTTCCTCCCTGTAGTCTTTTGGGACACGTGACAGGTCCCAGAAGACTACAGGACCATTCATGGAGGGCAGCGCTACTCACGCATGAGCAGTGGGTACCCGGCAGTGAAGCCGCAAGCAGTCACAGCCGGGTGCCCACACTAAAGATGCTGGCCCCCTGGAGTACAGGATGGCCGATGAAAGGAGCTGCAGGGCACACACCGCAGGACTGAGGGACAGGTAAGTGGCTGCTTTTTAAAAGTCAGCAGCTACAGTTTTTGTACAGCTTGAGTAGAACTCCGCTTTAAGTACCAGAAAATTTGGTGTTAATGATAAATTTGATTACAGGTTGTGGAGAATTTCAGGCGCAATAAATTGGTGCTCTATTTCGTATTTGAAATAATCACATCACATTCTAACAGGAAAGGTGGACTTCCAATGGTTACACCCAAGCTTGGCTTAGAATACGGACTGTGATGAAGGGTGTAAGTCGTCCACATAGAAAAGTGTTTTTGAGCCTCCACAGCATTGCCACTCTACACAACTTCCACTATTGTCTTTCATTTATGACTATTGAAGATTAATACAGGTCAGAATATCATGGCATCTGATGGTTGCTATGGTTGACCATGGTTCAGAATACACCTACATTTTTATTAAATAATTTTGATATAACTTTTTGTGGTCACCAGCGTTCATTGTTTGTATATGCACTAGAGCTGATGTGATTCATGATGGTATTATTTTATAATGAAGAACCCCTTGTTATTACTGTTTGTGTCCACATTGGGGAGTTTGACCATCTTTATTTGTCTGGGTGACCATCGTCTTCATTACAGAAAGTGAGGGTAAATGCAAAATTTTACTGTTGACACTCGAACAGGAAAAGAGGGAAACATTTCCTATAGAAACACCTGTTCCAGTGCCAACTTTCTAAGAAGGCATTTCCCCTCACATAAGAGAGGTTTCCCTGTTAATTCCTTTTGTATCTCTAGTACAAGTTGAAATCTGTCTAAGATAGGTCTTGGCCGTTCATAATTTATCCAAACGTTTAAAAAAATGTGGTCTTATGTGCGATTTAAACACACTAAACATTACTCATGTTGGAAAATGAATTAGAGAATTAGGATGGGTTTGTGAGTACACAATCTATATATCTTTATATCCATCATGCTCACTGTTATTTTTACGTTGTCCAGTTCTCAATGGAGAACTGTTAGGTGGTGCTTTTAGAACCGGACGACGGATGAGCCTTCCTGCACCTTCACCTGACACCAGCAATATCAATCTTTGGAATATTCTAAGGAATAATATTGGCAAAGACCTGTCCAAAGTCTCCATGCCAGTGGAACTGAATGAGCCTCTTAATACTTTACAGCACCTTTGTGAAGAATTGGAGTACAGCGAGCTGTTGGATAAGGCCGCTGAGATTGATGATCCTCATGAACGTATGGTACAGTAAACATATTGTTGGGTACTGCACACAACTATGACACTGCGGGGTTTTGTTTAAATCAAACCTTTCAGTACTATTTTCCTAATAAACCAGCCACAAAACTAAAATGCAGGCACAAAACTTTGGGAAGGTCCTCTTGTGTACCACAAAACCTTTATTTCTAGAAGTGTAAGAGCCAGTCTATCCTCCCTTCCCTTGTATTGCTGTTGACCAGTAAGGTTTGAATATTTGTTTCAAAATTTGCTTGTTGCCTGTATTTTAGTTTTGAGGCCAGTTTAGTAAGATCATGATACTGACAGGAAGGCTCTAACAAGTTGCAATTCGTTTTTAAATTGTATGTATGAAAATGGTTCATTCATGACATTTTGTTAAAAAGTACAATGGGCTTTCTAATTGGAAAGCCCAGCACTATCTTTTTTTGAAAAAACTGTTTTAATGTACTATTTAAGATGCTGATGTGTCCTCTAGCAAAGGTGGGTGGTTGCTGTGACAATATCAAATATGTCTGCATTTTCTTATTTACCTGTCTGAAAAACACTTTTCATATACTTAAAGGATATGTTTGCCTTTCCAAAAAAAAAATGTGCAGAGCATTGCACCGGCGATCAGCAGAGCATAGGTGCAATGTCAGGTTCCTACACTTTCTTCTTCTAGCTTTGTGCTGGTATGCTTGTACAGGCTTTCCATTACAATGCTAGAAGACGAATGAATTAAAAAAAAGTGATAGCGGATGCGGGAAGAGGACCCCCCTACCACTACCACCACCATCCGCTTTCACAGAGTAGTGGGTGCATAGAAGCATGTTACCCTAAATATGGGTGTATCATGCAACATGCCTCAAAAAGTGAACTTATCTTTTAATGCTTTTCTTTGCTATGTAAAACGTGAGGACGAGCACACATACAGCAAACTTCACTGCAATTTATAGTACCAATATAATACCACTGCTGTCTGTCACAGCATGATACTTTGATATCAGGGAAAATGAAATATACAGATTTTTGTTATGATATAAAACGCATTGCACGAAGCACACTTAACCCGTATGAGCCACCTACAGTAGATGTCACTGTCCTTAAAAGGAACCTGTGAAAACAGAAATATGGAAGTTTCCATTGACCATTTTATTTTTAAAGGTGCATGTTCTGGGGTGTTTACTGCTTTGTGTAATTGACTGAGCTGCAAAAAGCATGTTGGAGACCAGTTCAGACTTTTATAAAATTTAATTGGCTGTAGGTATGTTCCAGGTTAGTGACTCACCAGCTAGTGAAGCAAGAGTGAGAATGACAACCTTCATGCATGCACGCACCTTTAACATGGATGCAGCAATGGCACTCCCCCATATCGATGTCCTCGCTGGTTGCTGTGAAATCTGAGAGATGAGATTTGATTGGTTGCCATGGGCAGTGATGATCTGTAAACCATAACTTATGGCAACCAAACAGACAGTAATGTTCTTTACACTGCTCTAAGCCAGATACATTAAAAAGTCTCTATGGACACATCCACTGTCTGTATGGTTTAACAATCCCCATTCTGTTTTTCAGGCCCTTATTGCTGCATTTGCAGTCTCAGGATATGCTGCCACGTATTACCGAGCTGGGAGCAAGCCTTTCAACCCTGTGCTCGGTGAGACATATGAATGTATAAGAGAAGACAAAGGATTTCGATTTTTTTCTGAACAGGTGAAGTTGATTAGTGACATGGAACTGTAACACAAGTTGGAGTTTTTCACATCGGATTCATTCACCCAAAACTGACATTTTAGCTTTAGGTACATGCTTTTGAGTTGAAGTGTATGCTAGCTTCTCATATCTCTCTGAGACTTCATGGTGGTTCCGTGTAAGGGTGTGAACTTTGGCAGGAAATCCCACCCCTGGAATCCCCAAGAGATAAAGGAAGCCATTGGGTTATTCAGCCCAACAGCATCCTCCATTAACTGTCATTTTCTGGTGCACTGCTGTATTTGATTAAATATGCTGCTGAAGTATGCTTTATACATCTTTCCTTTCTATATCTCCTGATTAATTTAAATGCATATCAGAATAAAAAAAATGCTTTTTTTTTTTTTAAGTACTTGGTGAATAGTATTTTCAAGCATGTAAAAAAGACAGTATTGTTAAAATTGTACCTGCACTAAGATGTAATAAACCATGAGCAGGAGTATAACATGGGCAACAAAGGTGTTGGAATGTGCCCACTTATCTTCTAGGCTTCTCTGGAAGCCCCAATACCTACAAGTGCTGACTTGAGCTGGGAAGTCAATGGGGTTGTTTTACTAAAACTGGAGAGTGCAAAATTGGGTGCAACTCTGCATAGAATAAAAACCAATCGGCTTTCAGGGTTCTTTTTTTTTTTTGTCAAAGCTTAATTGAACAAGCTGAAGTTAGAAGCTGATTGGCTTCCATGCAGAGCTGTACCAGATTTTGTACTCTTCAGTTTTAGTAAATCAACCCAGTGTTTTTGTCCACCCCTTTGTTTACCTTTTTATTGGCCAGTGAAACCACTGATCAGCCAATAAATAGTAAGGTAGGATGTGGGGAAAAGCATTAATAATCGATAGCCTAACTTTTAGCTGGAACTCTGTAGGTTCTTGTTACTGTCAAGGCACTTTGGAAGATAAATTGAGGTAAGTACAGGCACCCCTGGTTGTCTGTTTGAATACTACCTACTTTCCTATACTTCATAACAGATACACATTTAACAGGGTGGCACTTTTTATAAGCTCTTTGAAAATCCTAATCAGTTCATCTTCCCTGGATTCCTGCATCTGACTCTAGCTTACTGTACATTTTATTCAATTTCAATATAGATACGCTTTCAATTGTAATACATTTTTCATTTGTAAGCTGTGGTTTCTTTATTTGCTTTTAAAGGAACAAAAAAAATTGTGAATATTTACCTGCGTTTTTTGATACGTTTTCTTGCCAGTAGGAAAGTATTGAGTGCAACTTTGATGCAACTTTACACTTTCTTGCATTCAGTCGTATTAAAGTAGTACAGGGACTTTGAAAAGTTCCTGCATTACTTTGATGTGACTTTGAGTGCCAGAGAATGTAAAGTATGTAAATGTAAAGAATGTAAATCAAAGTCACATTCAAAACTTTCCTATTGGTAAAAAAAAAAAATGCAAAATGCATTAAAAATACACCAAAAATGTGTGTTCAAAACGCAAAGGAAAAATGCATCAATCGTAACATGCATAGAATTGAACCAGGCCTTATACATTACTTTCAGTCTATATCATGTCAGTACAGAATCTTATCAACTTAAGTGTATATTAACTTAAATTTTTCTTGTTTCTGCTAGTTTTTTGTAGTTAGTTTTTCTGAGTGAATACGTAAAGCAGGCCTGTGCTTTACAGGTTGGCTTTATTCCCCTCTCCCCAGCAGCACAAACTGACCTTTTGTTAATATCCCAAATACTTCAGTCAAATGTTGAAGGTGAGGAAAGCGAGCCTTGTGTAAACTTTGAGTCGGTCTCTTTGAAGCTGGAAAGGGGGGCATTAAAACAAGCTGGTTACTTTGCTTTGCATTTGAAAAGCTAGATTTGCTGTAAAGGGTAGTCCACTCAGAATGTCTGCTATAGATAAATGCTTGTGGAGCATATCAGCCACAAAATTCATATATTTCTTTGGAATTTCATCACTGCAGAATATTGCATATATATTAAAAAGTAACATAACATATTGGTAATGTAATGGCCACAACTTTTGGGTGAAGTGTGGAGATCCATGAGAAATATAAGAAGCCAATGGTTGATTTTTCTGATTGGGAACAGAAATAACGGTTTTAGTTTGACTGATACTTTAAAGGTTTAAGTGAAGAAAAAGCTTTTATTTATAATGACACCATGTACATTGTATGTGAATGGTCATGACTGTGCTGACTGGTAGGTATTCCACAAGTGGAATACTTTGAGATTATTTTATCTAAAATCCGTTCTTAAGACATTTGACCATAAAACTATTTTTATTTTTTCAGGTTAGCCATCATCCCCCAATTTCAGCCTGTCACTGTGAGTCAAAGAATTTTGTCTTCTGGCAAGGTATGTTTTACCCTAGATTTCCAATTTCTTTTTCAAACAAATCAACTTTGTTCACTTTAAAAAGTCAGCCCACCCTTTATTTTCTGTGTTGGCTGTATGCCAGATGGTTAATTCACTTAGCACATGGGTGTCAAACTGGCAGCCCTCCAGCTGGTGCCAAACTACAAAGACCCATGAGGCATTGCAAGATTGACAGTTACAAGCATGACTCCCAAAGGCAGAGGCATGATGGGACTTGTAGTTTCTCAACAGCTGGAGGGCTGCCAGTTTGACATCCCTGACGTAGCAGCATATATCTTTGGGAATTGTGATGTTCTCAGAACTGGCTACGTGTCCCCATTGGTACAAGGACTCTTTTTAGTTGTATCACAGTGCACAAGTATGAGGATGGACAAGAATTCTGGAATTCAGAGGGGAGTTCAAGGGCACCACATCCCAAATGGCAACAAAAATGCAGGAAAAGGGAGGAGGGGATACAAAAAAGATAGGAGGAGAATAAATTCCTCACTAATGAAAAGAAAGTGGGCGGGACTTTAAGGGTTCCATCAATAATGAGAAAATTGTAACTAAAAGTACAACATTTATTTAAATCACATAAAAGTCACAAATATAAAAATATACATTTAAGTATCCAAACTTGGTGATGATACATATTCAGTAATACATATCCAGTGCATTATTTCTCAACATGTTTTGCCTAATTTAAGGCTTCTTCAGGAGAATAGGATATAGCACCTACAACAACAAATCATGCTCATTACAAAGTATGCCAATACTTTATTGAACAGATTGAATATCCAAAATATATGAATCAATACTAGAACATATATAAACTAGATGTTGTGTGTATCATAGGCACGTCTCAAAAATCACTGAAGGGTAACTTACCAGCAATTGCATAACTGGCTCAATTATACACATTATATGCAAGCCAATTAGTAGGTAGTTTAAAAGAACAGGGAGTCCTTAAATCAGCCTGGACATAAAGACAGCTCAAATGGTTGGTGAAGGAGCCCATAGGCTAACTGCAAAGATATACAAGAAAAGAATGTCAATTGCCACCCAAAATATTCCAAATGTATTTAGCAGCTTGAGGCAAGATTATACCTTTTTAAAGGTAGAGATGTATAAAAAAAAAAAAACTGCTCAATGAACGCTAATTATCACCGCTATACTAATGGCATTACACCAGGGAAAAGAGAGAGCCAGAAATACCGGTCCAAGTAGAACACTAGAACAGAATATATGTAATAAATGTGAGCAAAAAACTGATAAAACCAATCAGCCTACCAATATGAATATTGATAGGGATTATACTGAATTTACCTCAATCATGTAATTGGAAACACCCAAAAGGGGGAGGTGGCAGCAGTTGGTTTACCCTGGTTTGGGCCACATAAGAGCCTAATCCTCAAAGGAGAGACACATGCTAAGAAACAAAAACACCAAAAAGCATTAGTTTGAATAATAGTGGGAAACCTAAAATACAATACCAGCCACCAGCTTGGTTTAGTGTTTTTAAGGTCTCACCACAGCATACTCCAACACCGCAACACCACCTCCCCATCTAACAACGATATTAGGTTAGCTCCTTTAAATATCAGCATCAAACACAAAGAACACTGCAAAGCAAACCAATAGCCACCGCTCAAAAAAATACTATAGGCCGCAATAATTGGCAAATAATTGGAAGATACTAGTGCCCATCTTTTGAAGCTGAAACTACACATTGTGAACCAAAAGCTCAAAAACTGAGAACAGATTCATGCCCTTCAATTCAATGATGGAGACAATGGTGATGCAAAATGCATACCTGAACGTAAAGGCAAAGAACATATAGAAACATTGATAGATAGCCATTAATAGGACCCGATCCAACTGATATTTTAAAGCTATAAAAAAGGTTTGAAACTTGTAGAATTGTTTTAAACCTGGAAATTTAGTGGCCTGCAGAGTAAAAATCCATTTGGTTTTACGCTACAAAAGAAGACGATCCACCTACCCACCTCTCTCGAGGACGGGGATGTGCTCTAAAGCAAAAAATTGTATTTTTGATAGGTCATAGTTTTGATAGAGGCCTACGTGTCTGCTGATAGGAGTTTCCGGTCTTTTTTTTGTTTATTAGGGAACTGTGGTCGCGGATGTGCTGAAAAAACATCAGTTTGGTTTTACCAACATAAAATGCCCCACAGTCACAAAACATTAAGTAAACCACACCAATAGTTTGACAATTAACTGAACATCTTGGTGTATAAACACGTCCATTAGGTAGATTTACAACAGTGGCTTTTAACAGGTAATGACAATAATTACATTTTCCACAGAGCGATGTACCCCTTGATTTGGATTTAGGTAAATCTTTTCTAACATAATGACTCTGTACCAATTGATCCTTTCAGGATCTGGATCTACGAAGTGTAATCTGGGGTGAAGGGCCAATATATTAGGAAACCGTGTCATCTGCCTGCAGCAGATACCAAAATTTACCTAAAATATCACACACTAAATGCTTTTGACCTGTAAAGCGAGTAATGACTCTAGTAGTCCAAGGAGTTGATCGAGTATTAGATTGATTAATTAATTGGTACCTGTTGAGGTTCTTAACTCGGTTACAGGCTTTCCTCAAACAGGCCTTACAGTGCCACGTTGTAAGAGGCGTGTCTGTAAGTCTCTGGCTCCATTAGTAAAATCCATGACATTTTGTACAGTTACGTTTAATTCTAAGGTACTGGCTAAAAGGAATGCTCGATATAAATGGCTTAGGATGTGAGCTTGTGGTGTGGAGAATCGTGTTGCCTGCCGTGGGTTTCCTACATAGTGAAGAACCAATACTTCCATCATTATTGAAGAATATTGTGACATCAAGGAACGTGATGTCTTTTTGATCACAGTTGATAGTAAATTTCAAATTAAATTGGTTATTAGTCATTTTAGACATAAATGATTGTAATTCAAAATAGGTACCGCCCCAAATAAACAAGAAATCATCAATAAAACGATGCCAAGTGATTATATGGCCAACCTCATCCTGTAGGTCCTCTCTTGAAAAAAGTATGAGGGTGAACAAGACTCCCGGTACTGCTGGGTAGTATGAATAATTTGAGACCCATTCATTGATCTATAGATAGAATGTCTGTTTTTTTGGGGACTGACTCTGTGAGGATCAGTAATGTTAGAAGTTCTCTGTGTTTAAGTACTGTAATGAGTTGGTGTTTGCCTTAGTGTGAATACAGCTGTCTAGGGAGGTCTATTTCTCTCAGTGCTGGGGGGCTGGTTCACTTCTACTTGTCATTGTTTTGATGAAAAGTCTAGTTGGTTGTCAAGGATCTTGCTGTGTGCTGACCATCCCAAGATAGTCTGTTTACTTGCTGACATTTTCTGCATGAAAACCAACTGAGTTCTTAAGTACATGTGATATTTCAGTTTTGTTACATGAATCATTAGACAGCCAAGAGCATAAGGGATAACAAAACCCAAGAGTGCTACACAGAAAAAAAACCCCAGTAGAGATTATGTCAGAAAGTAGCAGACACCAATCCTAAGTGGCAGTATACAAAACAGGGTGGTCCAAGTAGCGTGGCCAGGTGTTGCCGGGTTAGTCATAAGTAGTAAAAGATAGAACAGAGGATAAGTAATGAAGTTGAAAAGTGGAAGGTGGGACGTGGAAAGGGGATCAAGAGGGGAAAGCAGAAGGGAAAACATAGAACAAAAGGAGGGGTGGGGAGTGGAAGGGGGAAAAAAGTAAAGGGCAGCAAAAAGGGTAGTGGAATAGGGTGGGGTGGGGGGGGGAGGTGTAGTCACCAGAAAAGAAAAGGGCCTCCCTCTCCCTGGGAGGATACAGCTAACGAGTAAATCATGCAGAATGCACAAACTCGTTGAGATAAACCTTCATGTAGACAAAATATTGCCAGGGTTTCCAAGACTTTGTGGGAGGGTTGGGATCTTTCCAGCATAGCGGGATACCGACCTTTCCAGCATTTAGGAGCTGGATGGTAAGGCATGCTTTAGATTTCCGAATAGGCTGTTCCGAAGGGTGTAGATCGACAGCAGAAAGCTGTTTGATAATAGCAGTTACTTCCTGCCAGAACAGCTCTATTTTTAGGCATCACTAGAAGATATGGATCATAGAACCATCAATTGAACCACACCTCCATCATGAACTGGGGACCTGAGGAAACATCTGGTGTTCCTTCTTGTGGCATAAGGTCTCAAGCTCGGTAAGAGAGCGATGGATACCAGGGGAACGAGACATTTGGCGTAAAAAGTGGAGGAGTTGGAGGCCACCCCAAAAATCAAGAAGGGAGTCTTTCAACTGTAAGTCCTGCAACAATCTGGGTACAATCCGTCTGGAAAAACATCAGTCAAATGCATGTGTCCACTTCTTTCCAGGCATTGGAAATGCTTGTTATGCACCCCCTTAGGGAAATCCAGGTTCCCTAGAATGGGGATCATAAGCGAGGGAAGTGGGGAGACCAAAGTGGTATGAAAAGCTTCCAGGGAGACCAGGAGAGTACTACTCAAGGAGGGGTGTAGGCAGAGGTCCTTTTAGTATTGAGGATGCAATCCATGGCCTACTCAGGACCGTGCCCTGTGAATCCTCTAGTTCCATAGCAACCCATTGTTTTGCCGAGCCATGGCAGTGCCAATTGCCAATCAACCAATCCAGTTTTTTCTTTTTAATAACTTCAGACATTTCTAAAATTCTGTTTTCGAATTGTAAATATGGGGTACTGAGTGTAGGTTAATGAGGAAAAAAAATTAATTTAAACAACTGTGGTATCAGGTTGCAACATAACAAAATTGAAAAAAGTGAAGGGGGTCTGAATACTTTATGAATGCACTGTATATATAACACCTATCAATTAACTTATTTTATCTGTTACCTTTTGGTCTTGCAAATATCCCAATGAAAGCATGTTAGTATCTGTTCAACAAGTGCAAAAAAAAATACCTGTTGATCATTCAGAGCTGCCTGTACACACTTTCTGTTATGTCAGGGAGTATAAAGGACTTAGGAGCTGAGTGCATTGCTGACAAACAGGCGTTTTTCTGTACTTTAAAGGAATAATGCATGGAGAAATGGTGCACATATAGCAGAAATATATGGTATGGTTTTTTTTTTTTTAGTTTACACCATGCACACTAATGTTTTTATAAGCTCCTAGAAGCTGTTAATGGCATTTTTTTTTCTGCTCCTAGAAGCTAATTTGTGTTGTGCTATGTGTCCATGCACACTTTTTTAGGTTAGCAGCATTTTTCAAGTTTCAGCATTTAGGAGCAAAAAAAAAAAATTACGTTTTTGGGAGTGTTTTTCCAGCAGAAAAACCGCTGAACACTTCTAAATGCTACTAAAACACTCTTAGTAGCTTTTTTTCTTACATGTACTGTAAAAACGCTAATAAAATGCTAACACTCCTAAAACGCTACTTAAAAAAAAATGCTTTTACCAGCTTAAAAGAACACAAGTGTGTTCCTTTAGAATGGACTCTGTATTGTTAGATTTATTCCAGTTACTGACTGTTACCTTTTTGCTTTCAGACATCAGATGGAAAAATAAATTTTGGGGAAAGTCCATGGAAATATTGCCTTTTGGAACAGTGAATGTTATCCTTCCAAAGTAAGATGTAATTTTTTATACAGCGATTGGCGGATTGTGAAAAATGTGATTACCCATAGTTCATGTTCATAGGTCATATTTCCCAGACAGACTGGTATGAAGTCTAAAGACTAGCTGCTGGCCCAATCCACTGAATAATTGTACCTTCCTTCATCCCCTCCATATCTATACAGGTTAATTGCAAATCCACCTTTATATCATAGGAACTTTGCTTTTAACAGCAGTGTATTTTATTCCTTCTTTAAGTTCTAGTATCACCCCCTCACTGTTGTATAATTTTGCCCACTTGCAAACATTGTAATATATGTTACTGCCATGTATGCAGTGTATTATGATGCTAAACGGTATTGTTTTTTGTGTGTGTATATTTTGTAATGTTTTTATAATGTAAATGTTTCATATTTATCACTAGGTGCTAGCAGGTGCTCTATGCTCATTTTCTGCAGCTGTTATAATCATAAAATATTTGTGGCCCCCCCCCCCCCTTTTTTTTTTCCTGATAGCAAACAGAAATGCCATTTTTAGTCATTTAATGAAGGCTGACAAGAAGTATGTGTCAGGTATAGTGCAGTCTTCTGGTTCTAGTGGAGACGAAGCTAAGATTCTCTTATGGTTAAAATATATAAATGTAGTCCGCCTCATCTGAAAGGGGCCTTTTACTTTATTAGATTTTTTTTTTCAGATCCCAGTTTAAAAAATGTAAGATTCTGTTGATATTTTGTTTGTTGTCAGATCTGTGAATTATTATTCATGATTCTCTGAATTGTAAACTTGGATTTCTAAAATTACAGTGAATACAAATGATGCGCTGTGTCACTAAATTAGATGTGTTTTAGTTATATGTATTACAATGCAAATGATCATAATATTGTCAAAAATAAATGAGATGTGTGTAACAACATCATAAATCCAAATACAATTGAAAAAATAAAAATGCAATACTAGTTTAACACTAGTATTATGTGTTTGTGAATGCAAAAAAAAAAAAAAAAATATATATATATATATATATATAAATGTAGCCCTGGCTTCAGTAGCCTCTTCCCCTGCAGTAATTCCTTTTAGTTTTCCAGGTTGAATGACAGTCAGCGTCATTCAACTCAGAAGACAGAGGACATACTGTGAGTGCAGTGTTTCATCTACCCTTTGAGGTGGCATCACCAAGGTACCCTGCATTCACAGCATTATGATGTGGAATTTGTCAAGATGCCATCACATTAGCGCCATTCTCGGCATTCAAGAATGCTTATAACCAGAACCAAAGATAATATGCACATCATTTGACTGGCATGAAAACTTCTAAAAAAAAGTACATACATACATACACAAACACACCAATACTGTATATAGATCATAGGTTTGATGTTACATGTTTTGCTCACCACAATGAGATTTGCATCTCACAAAGACTAATAACACTAATTAAAATCTCTCTAAACAGTAAATGGGTGTGAGTTACGGGCTACTTAAGCAATCGCTCTTCGTAAAAACCTGGTTCTTGATCTCTAGTCTTACTGTGCTACCAGATGAATTTTTATAAACTGAAAGATGAAAATTGCAAAATTATATAGAAGCATTAAATTCCTGAAGTTGGATGTGACCAGTGAGCTGTTCTCACTCTCGTAAAACACGATTGTGTTTTGATCTGCTTTTATGAAAGATATGATAAAGCAATGTAATTTAATTGTATTTTATTGTCTAGGTTACAAGAAAATGCTATGAAAATCACCTTAAACTTTACAACTTTACACTAGCAAACACTGCTGGGAGTAAAGAGGATACTTACTACATTAGACAACAGATGTGCATGCAAGGAAGTAGCGCAGTTCTTTTAAAACTGGATGAACTTTTTTCTTCCAGGTACGGAGATTGTTACGTCTGGAACAAAGTTACGACATGCATACACAACATCCTAAGTGGGAGGAGATGGATAGAACATTATGGTGAGATCACCATACGGAACACAAAGAACAGTGTTTCTATGTGCAAAATGACATTTATCAAGGTAAAGAGATCACTAATCACTGTAGTTCAGGGTTTGAAAAAGGCTTGTAAACACTTCTAATAATTCAGGAGTAATCCTAAATCAAGAGATCTTATGCACTTTGTGTACTGTAAGAATGCAGCATTCAATAAATCCGGATACAAGAAAAAGTATTAGTCAAGAGTAATACCATACACTGCCCCCTAGAGCTATGTTTGGGGGCTTATTTAGAGTGCAAAATCAGGCTCATTTCTACATAGAAACCAATCGGCTTATAGGTTTTATTGCCAAAGCTTAATTGAACGAGCTGATTGGCTTCTATGCAGAAGTGTGACTGATTTTGCACTCTCCAGCTTTATTAAATAAGCTCCTATGTGTCCATGCAGTGCTTTTCCACAGATTATATGTACTGCCCTAGGCACATGAAAATTATGATAGTCTTTTGTACAGGCTCCAACCCCTTTTGTGACTGTTATCTTCAAAATGGAAACCTGTATATGCCACTGGAAGCAACTTCGTAGCTGCTGTATTTGAAGAGCTACCATATTAAAACTAGTATCATGGCTTCCAGATGCTCCATAAACTGGTTTCTTTGTTCACATTGGGTGATACTCAGATCCCTGTCCTTGACTGCTCTCATGATACAGTTAAAGTGGTAGTAAAGTCTCCAAAAAAAAAAAAAAAAAAAATCAATCTTAAGGTTAATGTCGTAATGTGCTAGTATGGGGGCTATTTATAAAAAAAAAAAAATGCTTTGCGAACGTCTCATTATTCATGCAGACATCACAAATATACCTGTAATATTTGTAATGTCAGTTTCTATTTGTTGCCTTTCTCAGGGTGAATTTAACATTCGGTTATAGAATACTCGACCAACAGAGAAAATTGCCTAGTGTTATAATTAAAGTACATTCAACCAGAAGAGGAAATAATATGAGGGAGACTTTTGTACTGTATATAAAGTGTATGGAGTTTTTTGTACTCCCCACTAGGAGTGTAATGAATCACCTGCTGCAAAGAATGAAAGGGCTCTCAAAGTCTTCTAGTCAACTGCAACCGCTCTTTTTTTCGATTGGGACCAACAGTTAGGGAACGTTACAATGTTGGATGCTCTGGTAGTGCTGTAGGATTTAATATATTCTGATCTATGCATTTCCTCCACTGGAACTTTTTAAAACGTTTACTGTCCACTTAGGATTGCGACTGAGAGTATTTCAGTCATCCTGATTGCCCCAGGTTGGCCTTAGAGACTGTGATATGCCAACCCTGTTTGTCAGCCAATGTTCTGTGGTCTCTACCACAGATTTTAATCTTAAGGACCAATCTTACACCTGCTTCAGATGGTGACTTTGATGGCCTGGCTGTTAAGATGCTCAAGTTCTGAAAGAATCAAGTTCTGGATTCTATAATCCTCACCATATTCAAACCCCATAAATCTTTACATGGAAGTTCACTAGTTTGATTATCTGGGTGTTTCCCAATGTGCTTTTCATGTGGAGCCTGTTTCTTTCCTGCAGTTTGAGGTAGAACAGCCCTTGGTTCTTGGCACCGTCAAAGGTCAGGTGACATATCCCTTGCGTGTAAGGTAGCCCTTCTTGTGGCAATCACTTCAGTCAGAATTTTTGAGTTATCAGCATTTTTCAGTAAGGAACCCATTTTGATCTCACAAAGCAACAAGCTTGTTTGTTGAAATGCCCCTTCATTCAAGCCTGTACACCACATCAAAAAAATTGGTGCCGTGCAATGAAAATGAAGCATGTCTACAATTTTACACAGAGCACTGCACATCACTACTTTTTGGTGTGAATGGGGCACACAGGAATTGTTTTTTATGCTCCTCGAGTTGATCCAGTGCAGATTAACACAGGTCAGCACACATAGTGTGAACAAGCCTGTAAAGTAAAAAAAAAAAATACAATCTGTGGGGAAATACGTTAGTTCAGTAAATATAGCTACCTCCTCCCCAGGTTCCATCTGCTGAACCATCATGACATCATCATTCTTCCAGTAGGATTTCTGGGGAAATCTAAGTATCAAAAAAACTCACTATAAGATGCTCCTGCATTGTGCTGGAGTGTCTTCTAATGAAATTTTAAATACTTGGCATTCTCTGGTATCTCGTCGGAAGAATGGTGACATGGAATCCTTCGATAAGGCAGAGGTAAGATAAATATACTGTATATACTAGTTTTCTTTCTGTCAAGTATTTTTTAATTTTCAATTCTAAGGCTGCTATATGGGTGAGGGGCCCTTATATATTAAGCAAAGCTGCAAGGTCCACTTTAGGTAGCTATCCCCCTTATGCGCCTGGATTTCCGAGGGTGCATTCTATATTGTAGTAAAAACAGAGCGCACCAGCCCTAGTGCAATGAGGCCTTTTATAAATGGATAAATAAAATCAAAATCCAATGCACTTACAAGATTACACCTTGTGCCAAGCTCAAACACGGGCAACCTGGAGTCCTTCTTGTGTGCAGTGAAAATGCCAGATAGATGATCTATCAGTTTAGCGCTTTTCTCCCTGCCCAGAACTGATATCAAAAGCAGACTCTGTGGATAATAATACAGAGAAGCGTGGAGCGGTTGCTCTCCACACTGACAGATCGGCAGTAACATTGGGTGCCCATGCAGCTGTGGAAAAAGCCAGCATCGCTCTATGCACTCAGGGAGACCACTAAGGATAACGTGAGGCCATTGGCATTTACAAGGTTGCTAGGACAATGTGTTTCAGGGGCATGGCCTCCTTTTTCAAGTCTGTACAACAACTAGAAGAGCTTCCTTCTGCAGCTGAACCAATAAGCAGTGCAATCAACTCTATAAAAACCAGTAGTATTACCGTGTTTGCTTATACTAACCACAGACCTAATATATGTAAATAAAAATATATAAACATATATATGTCTTTGTACAATAAATTAATTTCAACTCATATGCAGTAAAACTAATAGAAGAATAAATTAAACATTGTACAATAACTTGATTATAGAAATGAAAAAGAAGTATGAATTAGTAATCTCAAATACAGTAATCAAATGTCATTGGTGCAACAGCTTGTTTACATTATGTGTTTTATCTTTCCATTCTACATTGTGAGCAGTATGGGGGGACCATGATAGACTTTGTCATTACTGTTGGATGGTGCTGGAAATTCATATTGATGTGAAGATGTAGAATTTTCCTTGTTTACCTCCCTTTCTACTGTAACATACAGGATCGCTTCTGCAGTTTAGTTTGTTAGCTGACGACCATAAGATCTACACAGACTGTGCAATGTGATGTCCTGTATTTCACTGCTTATTAGACGCAACATATGAAAAGAAATCACTGCACATTATACAGAACACTCATTTTCCTTATAACCTCACAAATTGGTTTCCCTTAGTCCAAAATTTGCTTTATGAGAAGATGATATATCAGTGCTGATTATGTGCCGGGCTATCCTGGAACACATTGCCATAAACGAAGCCTTCTAATAATGTCTAAAAGCATTGTTCAGGCTTGATTTTATACAGGAAATGTATGTATTTCAAATGATGTATTATTACCATATCTGTGTCAAGTTATTCTTCCATGTAATTTTATACAAGGTGTTATCAGGCTGAATAGGATGTAATGATGATCCTTATCATGTGGTAAATGAGTAACACTTTCTCATAATGTCAGTAACAAAGTAATAGAGCCACACAAAGACATAACTTTGCCTTAGCTCTTAATACAACATCGCTAACCATTTTTGAGTCTTGAAAATTGTGGCTAGTTAGGAGCTTCCCTATCTATTGACACAAAGTGACCACTTAAAATGTGCTCAAAGGTATTGCACATGAAAGACATTAAAACAGCAGGTTGATGAGGGTTAACATTTCATGCCGAGCTGTGTGTCTATATGCACCGATCAGCCTTAACTTTATGATCATTGACAGGTTAAGTGAATAACATTGTTTATCTTGTTACAATAGCTGAAAGTCAGTGGGATATATTAGGCAGCAAGTAAACATGTTGTCCCTGAAGTTTATGTGTTAAAAGCAGAAAAAAATGGGCATTGCAGTTTGTTGTATATGGAGTTGCATAGCCGCTGACCCGTGTCCACAGCCAAAAGAACCTACAATGAGCATGTGAGCATCAGAACTGGACCACGGAGCAAAAGAAGGTGGCATGGTCTGATGAATTGCATTTTCTTTTACATCATGTGGATAGCTGGGTGCATGTGCGTCGCTTACCTGGGGAAAAGATGGCATCAGGATGCAGTATGAGAAAACAGCATCTGTAACCTCAATAACCTACAGTATATAAAATATACACTGCTCAAAAAGATTAAAGGAACAATTTTTGTTCAGAGTATAGCATCAAGTCAATGAAACTCCTGGGATATTGATCTGGTCAGTTAAGTAGCAGAGGTGGTTGTTAATCAGTTTCAGCTGCTTTGGTATTAATGAAATTAACAATAGGTGCATTAGAAGGGTAACAATGAGACGACCCCCAAAACTCGAATAGTTTTACAGGTGGAGGCCACTGACATTTTTTTCCCTGCTCCCTTTTCTGACTGTTTTTCACTATTTTTGCATTTAGCTAGGGTCATTGTCAGTACTGGTAGCATGAGGCGATACCTGGATCCTACAGAAGTTGCGCAGGCAGTCCAACTCCTCCAGGATGGCACATCAGCACGTGCCATTGCCAGAAGGTTTGCTCTGTCTGAGACAGGCAGTTACTCTAGGAGAGCTGGGCAGAGCCGTAGAAGGTCCTTAATCCATCAGCAGGACCAGTATCTGCTCCTTTATGCAAGGAGGAACAGGATGAGCACTGCCAGAGCCCTACAAAATGACCTCCAGCAGGCCACTGGTGTGAACGTCTCTGACCAAACAATTAGAAACAGGCTTCATGATGGTGGCCTGAGGGCCTGACGTCCTCTAGTGGACCCTGTGCTCAATGCCCGGTACCATAGAGCTCAATTGAAATTTGCCATTGAACACTAGAATTGGTAGGTCCGCCATTGGCGACCTGTGCTTTTTACAGATGAGAGCAGGTTCACCCTGAGCACGTGACAGACGTGAAAGGGTCTGGAGAAGCCGGGGAGAACGTTCTGCTGTTTTGCATGATCGTTTTATTGGTGGGTCATTGATGATCTGGAGAGGCATAACCTTGGAGGGCACCCTGACTGCCATTGGGTGTCGGGATGAAATCCTTGGATGCATTGTCAGACCCTACACTGGTGCAGTGGATCCTGGGTTCCTCCTGGTGCACGACAATGCCAGGCCTCATGTAGTAAAAATATGCAGGCAGCTCCTGGAGGATGAAGGAATTGATACCATTGAATTGCCCCCATGCTTGCCTGACCTAAATCCAATAGAACACCTCTGGGATATCATGTGTCGGTCCATCCAACACCGCCAGGTTTCACCTCAGACTATCCAGGAGCTCAATGATGCCCTGGCTTAGATCTAGGAGGAAATACCCCAGGACACATCCGTCTTCTCATTAGGAGCATGCCCCATCATTGTCAGGCATGCATACAAGCATGTGGGGGCCATACAAATTACTGAGTACCATTTTGAGTTGCTGTTAAAGACAACCCTGATTATAATATGAAAGTTGAAGTCCAGCTTTACTTACCGTCTTACACAGTTGTACAGGCTCCTCTTCTGCATTGAAATAGCCTCCACTGGTTTCACTGCACACTGTAAGTATATAGCAGTATGAACTGGAAGCTGCAGCAGGTCAGATAGAGATCATCTCATTTCTTGGCTGGAGGTCTTCCATCATCACCCAGCCCTTTCTCCCCAGCCTGACAGTCCCTGGTCCTTCACAAAATCTGTCTATGCTATATAGAGAAGCAAGGAGACCTAGTGTGGATATCACTGTGTCTAAAATAAGGTGTGTGATAGAAATGAAAAGGTTTTGTTTAATAATTTCATTAGCATGTAAATGAGGGAGGGATAGGACAAAACAGGGAAGGCAATTAAAAACAGAATAAGCTTCATCTTCAACTGTGCAATCACAGGCAGTTAGAGAAAAGGGCCTGCTTTGCTAGGGAGGAGCTGTCAAAGTCTTTGAATATTTTCATGCTTAAAAAATTGGTAGAAAAACTACTGGTTGATTGAATATCAGTACAGAACTGGTTAAATTCTTGATGGATTGTGAATTTACTTATCTTTACTTTTTAATATTTTTTTTTCTTTCTGATATGTTTATTTAATTTTCACTGAGTATTTTAGTAATCCTTTATACTTAATCCTTTAACAGGGGAATTATTGGAGCTCCAGTGTAAATGAAATCCATGGAGTGGTAATGGATCAAGAAGGGAAGGTTGTGCATCGGCTCTTTGGGAAGTGGCATGAGGCTCTGTACTGTGGAGATGCTCCTGCAGCTAAATGCATATGGAGGCCAGGTACAAGTTTGGTAATTACAACCTTGCGTGGCTTTGGGCTCATCCCCTGACAGCAGTTAAGGAACTAGTTTACCGTTAAAGGTTTTCATGGAGGAAGAAAGATTTTACAAACTACCTATTTTGGTGTCCTTTTAATAAACCGCGATAATGCTAGCTTTATCATGGCTTATCTTTTCTCTGCACATCGCAATGGGGTCTCACCGCTGTGCTGAAGCCGTTGAATAAACAGCCAATTTGAATTTGAGCTCTGTGAAGAGACATCAATATTATAGGCAGAGAACAGAATGTGGGGAAAGAGTTAGAAGCTGCACAGCCCTGTCCAATGTGAGGAAACCTATGAGCCACACTGAAGGATCAGAGGCTATTCCTCAGAAAAAACCTCATAAAAATGTGACTGGCTTCTGCCCCGCTGGCATGCCGTGTATCACAATCTCTCTGTACAGAAGCAGCTGTCAGAGGAGATCTCTGGTTCCCGGGCACTGAAACAGGCATCATAGATCTGCTAAGCATAGATTCTACAGCTAACTTCAGATCTTCAGTTGCTGCCTCTGAAATTGCTGTTTCCACCCTGCTGACATTGGATAGCCCCCCACCCCCATCCACCTCAAGCTGACCCAAATTACGATCTGGACATTTTTTAACCGCTTTAGGACCACCCTGTAGCAGATATACTGCTACAGGGCGGCACTTGTGCGCAGGATCGTAGATTTATACACACGTCATTTTGCATTTCTGGGTTGGAGGCGCGTGCGCAAGAGCCCTACGCGCACCGCCCATTCGCAGCCGCGGATGTCAATCACCGGGTCCCGGCCAGTAATTACCCGCTGGCGCCCGGTGATTACCGAGCATCTCCGACGGGGAGGAAGATTATTTTGTTTACAAACAATCTTCCTCCCTGTCTGCTCAGGATGGCTGTGCACATTACAGCCATCCCGAGCAGTGTGCTTACAGTGAAGAACACCCCCCCGCCCCCTAGTAAAAAACTTCCAGCACACAGTTAACCCGTTGATCACCCCTTAGATTAAACCCTTCCTGCCCAGTGTCATTAGTACAGTGTCAGCGCTTTTTTTTTTTTTTTTTTTTTTAGCACTAATTACTGTATTGGTGTCAGTGACACCAAGTTAGTGCCCCCCAGTATCAGAATGTCCACTGCAGTCCCGCTAAAAGTAGCTGATTGCCGCCATTACTAGTGGGAAAAAAAAAATCCCATTATCTATACCGCCATTTGTAAGCGCTATAACTTTCACATAAACCAATTCATTTATACATATTGGGATTTTTTTTTTTTAGCAGACGTAGCAGAATTTGACGAAATTTTTTTTTTTTTTAAATTTTACTGGACATGTTCAATAGCAAAAAGTTCAAAATATTGTTTTTTTCTCAAATTTGTTGGTCTTTTTTTGCTTATAGCGCAAAAAATAAAATTCACAGGCGATCAAATACCACCAAAAGAGAGCTCAATTTGTGGGGGGAAAAAAAGGACGTAAATTTCATTTGGGTGCAGCGTTGCATGATTGCGCAATTGTCAGTTAAAGTAACGCAGCGCCGTAACGCAAAAAATGGCCTGGTCATAAAGGGGGGTAAATCCTCAGGAGGGCAAGTGGTTAATAAATAATAAAAAAAACACTGTGGAATAACATTGCATCACAGTGCACATGCACACCAGCTCTCCCTCTCCTACAGTTATGCTTAATTAATGTCAAATTATAACTTCCTGGCTCTTTTCTCAGTTTTTTAGCAAAAAAAAAAACCTTTATCACAGAGTCTGACATGGTGATAAATTGAGGGGATTTTCTTTGTATTTATCACAGGAAAAAAGCCTTTTTTGTGCTTTTCACCATTTATTCTACAAATACATTCCTATTACCTTGTCTGTACGTATCACCAAGAATTCATGGTGAAGAGAAGGAATGAGAAATCCCCTGACTAATCCCTATTTATTAAACGCCATACTAGGGACTTATCACCTTTTAATAAGTGGAAAAAATCTTTTCACCAATTATCACCAGCTTTTCACTGTTTATTAAGTATACACCTATATGTTAGCAGTGCAATTCATCTGAGCAGTGACATCAATACTGCATAGTGAACGGATGAAGGAACAAATTGCAGGTGTTCATATAATACATCTGATGTATATCCTGACTATCAACATCAGATATTTATATCACCAGCACTGTAGACAGCGGAAGACATACAACAGCCTTGATAGTAACATTAACAAACTGGCCCGCTCTTACAGCTCACAGCAATAACACAGCCCAGTAATGATAGTTTTCTGTAAGATATGGCATTTCAGTCTGTACCTCACCAATGACCTAAGCAGCATATGATAACTTACATTTTTTATATTTTTCAGGTTCAATGCCAAGTAACTATGAACTTTATTATGGCTTTACAAGATTTGCCATTGAACTAAATGAACTAGATCCAGTAATGAAGGATTTCCTTCCAAAAACTGATGCAAGGTTTCGGCCTGATCAAAGGCAAGTGCTCATTTGGTAGTGACAAGTCCATCAATGCTAATCTTCCCATGACATTGATAACCAGAAAATGAAATCACTTTGGGACATTGACATGTAGTCTCCCATTAAAGGGACTGTTATGAGAGATTATGGAAGGCTACCATTACTGAACTCTCCTTTGAGAATGCTAGTTCTCTGACTGTCATTGTGATGCTTTGACCTCAATGCTGTCTGAGTCATTGACCCAAAACATGAACTCAAACACAGCCAGGCATCTAGTATTTTCAGGAGGCCAGCAACAGCAGCCCCCCATACTTCTTTCTGGAAAATGTCACGTTAGGAATAAGTGCCATTTCAGTCTCTTCTATTTTTTTTTTTTTTTTTTCTAAATTGTACGTGACTCATGATTAAACACCTCAGTTACCTAAGGTATGAGTTTTGCTGATACACTGTCTTCAGATGCAGTTTATTGCCTAGCCCTCTTCATGTTGGCAAAAATGGGTCGGTTCCATCCCCCTTACCCTGCAGAACAGCCCTCTAATAAATGAGAACCCCCCTCTGTTGTTCTTATTTTGTCCTCACTCCATAACTGTCCTACTTAAATTACCTCCCAGATTGAGTTCTCCTCCAGGAAACCCTGCTTTATTAGTGGTGAAGCTTTCAAAAGAGCAGTACGTGGATGCTGGGGCTTCAAAAGTGAGTGACATAAATTTCTGGCTGTTGATGACTCTGGTATTCCAGTGTATGCTTACACAGCTTTACTGTGGCTGATTTGTACAACTGAGACATTTTCTTCCTCTCCCAGCTCTATTCTGTGGTTGGGTTCCCGAAGTACTTATTCTGATACAGTGTTCCTGCTAACCAGAAACAAATTTGTCAGTGCCTGTCTTCTGGATGACAATTTGGCATCATCACACGTATGAAGACTATATCAATATGAGACCTAAGATGTATCCAAATTGGTTGGTTGGACCTGTTTGAGGACTCCTTAGTCGTAGAAACTGAATCATCACCTATGCAAGTGTCCCAGGCCTGGGGGGCACACTGTCCTCTCTTCATGTATCATTGAGGCTTTCAAAATGGCAGCTTTGTTTTCTCCTCCTGGAGAAATTACAGTGCGTTCAGCACTAGCAGTCTTTGGTGTCCTCTGCTTCCTACATAAAGGTGGTGTTTAAAGCTGAAAGTTGGAGGTCTACCAACAGGTTTATCTGTCCCTACAGATTGGATCTGGCAGCAGGCCCTTACATGTCTTTGGGCCTTTGCTGCTGTTAATGGCCTTCACAGCTAAATAAGATTTAAGGAGCATCATTCTTTTGTTTTTGGTGATTTCCTGTTAGCTACATTCCATTGTATGCTGACACGAGGAGGGGCAGGTATAAGTAAAATTATGTACTACTTACCGTATTATTCCTTTGTGACCCCCTTTTCATGTCAGCATTATCCCCACCTTAGTACTGTCATGAGTAGTAGGAACACCAGGGGTGGGGGGGGGGGGGTAATTAGGGCACATTTTTTGACTAGTTAAAGGGCTGTCCTGTGGGGGGAAAGGGGCAGACCCATTGTATTCTGACTTAAGAAAAGTTATGGCAAATAATGCATAACAATTTTCCTAAATCCTGCAGTGGCTGCTCTTTTCCACCACTAGAAGCTGAAGGGAAGACCAGAGATGAACTTTGTATTGAGCTGAATGAGTAGTCTGTCTTGTGTTCCCTTCACCTCCCTCTAATGGTAGCCCAGAGCAACTACAGAAGGAGGAGAGGATGAAAACAAACTGCTGTCATTTGAAATTCAAGTTAGGAGCAAAAAACATACACTATATTGCCCAAAGTATTGGGACACCCCTCCAAATCATTGGATTCAGGTGTTCCAATCACCTCCATGGCCACAGGTGTATAAAATCAAGTACCTAGGCATGCAGACTGCTTCTACAAACATTTGTGAAAGAATTGGTCGCTCTTAGGAATGCAGTGAATTCAAACGTGGTACCGTGATAGGTGTCCACCTGTGCAATAAGTCCATCCATGAAATTTCCTTGCTATTAAATATTCCACAGTCAACTGTTGTATTATAACAAAGTGGAAGCAACTGGGAACAACAGCAACTCAGCCATAAGTTGGTAGGCCACGTAAAATGACAGAGCGGGGGTCAGCACATGCTGAAGCGCACAGTGAGCAGCAGCCGCCAACTGTCTGCAGAGTCAATAGCTAAAGACCTCCAAACTTCGTGTGGCCTTCAGATTAGCACAACAACAGTGCGTAGAGAGCTTCATGGAATGGGTTTCCATGGCCGAGCAGCTTCATCCAGACCTTACATCACTAAGTGCAATGCAAAGTGTCGGATGCAGTGGTGTAAAGCATTCCGACACTGGACTGTACAGCAGTAGAGATGTGTTTTCTGGAGTGATGAATCACGCTTCTCTGGCAATCCGATGGACATGTCTGGATTTGGCGGTTGCCAGGAGAATGGTACTTGCTATTGTATTGTGCCAAGTGTAAAGTTTGGTGGAGGGGAGATTATGGTGTGGGGTTGGTCTTCAGGGGTTGGGCTTGGCCCCTTAGTTCCAGTGAAGGGAACTCTTAAGGCGCCAGCAAACCAAGACATTTTGGACAATTTCATGCTCCCAACTTTGTGGGAACAGTTTGGGGATGGCCCCTTCCTGTTCCAACATGACTGCGCACCAGTGCACAAAGCAAGGTCCATAAAGACATGGATGGCTGAGTTTGGGTTGGAGGAACTTGACTGGTCTGCACAGAGTCCTGACTTCAAGCCGATAGAACACCTTTTGGGATGAATTAGACCGGAGACTGCAAGCCAGGCCTTGACATCTGACATAACCGCACAAATGCGCTTCTAGAAGAATGGTCAAACATTCCCATAGACACACTCCTAAACCTTGTGGACAGCCTTCCCAGAAGAGTTGAAGCGGTTATAGCTTCCAAGGGTTGGCCAACTCAATATTGAATCCTACGGACTAAGACTGGGATGCCATTAGAGTTCATGTGTGTGTGTGTAAAGGCAGGCATCCCAATACATTGGCAATATTGCGTACCTGTGGCAAACTGAGTATTTTAACCTGGTTGAAGAGACAAACAAGAAATAAGGATATTTACTGATATATATACTACTTTAATAAAAATCAGTGAGATCCATATTTAATTTATGAACTACTTCCAAAAAATCAGTGATTTAGATCCATTATTTAATTTATGAATTGATACTGTAGATTACTTGAAGAAGGGAATGTTGAAGCTGCTGGAACAGAGAAGCAGAGAATAGAAGAACTACAGAGAACCAGGAGAAAATACCTGGAAGACAACCATATAGAATATACGCCAAAATATTTCCGGTAAGTTAATTACTGAAAGAAAAATTTCTGCACATTGCTATATGATAGAATATTAAAATAGCATTCATGAACTGTATGACTGTCAGAACTGAACAAGAGCTGGTCCTTTGGTAAGGTTTAGAACCCTCACCCTTAGGTTTTAATAAATAGGCGTAAACTGCAGTGTCAACACAAAATGTAGCAAGGAAGATGTCTGGATGAAAACATTCATACTTCCACAACTGTATGTCTTGTGGCTTTTCTGGGAGGTCCTCAGCTGTTTTGAAGGAAATGGGATTCCCTATAAGTTCTTGAATTGAGCTCTACAAGCTGCACAGTGTCTGCATTCAGGGCGGCTCACCTGCACAACTTTCACATTAAGATGAGCATCTGTGTGAACGAGGCCATAGACTGGGGGTCAGCAAGCAGTTAATTGCGATCAACCGGTCGACCGCGGGGCTCAAGCTGCTCAGTGATTGGTTGCTAGGCGGTCCTAGCAACCAATCACCAGCTTCATATTATGAACTCCGGCAGCTCTCGCTCCCGCCTTCCACCCAAAACTGTGCCGTCTTCTGATCTCCGCTCTGCTCTACACACACTGGCAGGTAGGAAGTGCTACCAGTGTGTGTAATGTGAACGGGCCAGGGAAGAAACTAGGGGGCAGAAGAGACACTGTGGGAGAGGGGGGGCTAGAGGAGACACTGTGGGGAGGAGGGAAGGAGACACTGTGGGACTGTTGGAGGGTGGACAGAGGAAGCTACAATGGGGGGATTCTGATGAGAAAAGGACAGAGGACACTGTTCTGGGGGATGGGGAAGCATAGGACACTGTTATGGGGCAGGGTAGAGAACACTACAGAGTGTGTGGAGGGGGGGAGGTTGATGTGAAGGGGGGTAGAGGAAACTGGTTTGGGTGGTACAAGAGATATGCGGTAGGGAGGATGTAGTGTGGAGGGGGGCAGATGACACTTTGGGGAGGGGGTACAGGACACTACTGTGGGGGGGAGGGTGGCAGGGGAATGCCTAGTTACTAGGGACTACCTAGTAAACACCCCCTGCCTTCCTTGGGGATCTCTGGTTTACTCCATGTTGTCCAGGCACAATTTTCATACTTTTAGCTCTGTATGCCACCAGAATAAATTAAAACAAAACAATCCAAATGAATCTGAAGTGCAGACTTTCAGCTTTAATTCAAGGGGTTGAACATAAATATCAAGTACAAATTTTAGGAACTGCAACCATTTTTATACACAGTCCCTCCATTTCAGGAGCTCAAATGTAATTGGACAAATTAATATTAATATAATCATAAATAAGATGTTCATTTTTAATATTTTGTTGAGAATTCTTTGCCTGAAGTCTGGAACCCATGTACATCACCAGTCAATCCCAGTAAAGACTGGGTTTCCTCCTTTCTGATGCTTTGGGAGTCTCTAACTGCAGCTGTCTTCAGTTATTTGTTTGTGGGTCTTTCTGCCTTTAGTTTTGCCTTCAGTAAGTGAAATGCATGCTCAGTTGGGTTGAGATCAGGTGATTGACTCGGCCATTTCAGAATATTCCCTCCTCACCGGCCTACCCCAGTGCAAACTCTCCCCGCTTCAGACCATCCTGAACTCAGCTGCCAGACTCATCCACCTCACCAGCCGCTCCACCTCTGCCACCCCCCTCTGCCTCTCCCTCCACTGGCTCCCCATTGCCCAACGCATTAAATTCAAATTGCTCACCCTGACCTATAAGGCCATTCACAAGACTGCCCCTAACTACCTCACCGACCTGATTCCCAGGTACCACCCTACCCGTACCCTTCGCTCTTCACAGGACCTCCTTCTATCTTGCTCCCTGGTCTCCTCCTCCCACACACGACTGCAAGACTTCTCCAGGTCCTCCCCCATCCTCTGGAACTCACTACCCCAATCCACCAGACTGTCACCTTCCCTCCTCACCTTCAGGCGCTCCCTGAAACCCACCCACCTCTTCAGGGAAGCCTACCCCACCCTCACCTAACAGCCGCTGCCCCTTCCCTCCTCCTACCACTCCATCCATCCCCCACAGCCATTTCCTCCTGTACCACTACCCCCCTCCCTCCTAGATTGTAAGCTCGAAAGAGTAGGGCCCTCTTACCCCTCGTGTGCTGTTTGATGTTACTGTACTGTTTCATGTATTGTCCCCCTCTCTATTGTACAGCACTGAGCAAACCCTTTGGCGCTATATAAACTAGATAAATAAATAAATAAAAAATATTCCACTTATTTTCCTTCAAAAGCTCCTGGGTTGCACAGTGTGTTTTGGATCATTGGATGGCACTTCATAGAACAGATGGACAATCAACTTTGCTGCATTTGGGCTGACAATATATCTCTAAACACTGCAGAATTTATCTGGCTGCTTCTGTCAAATCATCAATGAACACCAATGACCCAGTGCCACTGGAAGCCATGTATGCCCATGCCATCACACTGCCTCCACCATGTTTTACAGATGACATTGTGTGCTTTTTATCATGAGTTGTTCCAATTCTTCTCCACACTTTTTTTCTTCCTGTCATTCTGGTACAAATTAATCTTTCATCTGTCCAAAGAATGTTTTTCCAGAACTGGTCTGGCTTTTTTAGATGTTTTTTGACAAAGTCTAATCTGGCTTTTCTATTCACGCTTACAAATGGTTTTCACCTTGTGATGAACCCTCTGTATTTGCTCTCATGAAGTCTTCTCTTGATTGTAGACTTTGACAATGATAAGCCCACCTCCTGGAGAGTGTCCTTCACTTGTCTGGATGTTGTGAATGGGTTTCTCTTTACCATAGAGAGGATCCTGCGATCATCCACCACTGTTGTCTTCCGTGGATGTCCATGCCTTTTTATGTGGCTGAGCTCACCAGTGTGTTCTTTCCTCAGAATGTACCAAACTGTTGATTTGGCCACTCCTAATGTTGCTGCTATCTCTCCGGATTTGTTTCATTTTTGAAGCCTTACAATGGCCTGTTTTACTTGCATGGACAGCTCCTTTGAACGCATGATGTAGGTTAAAACCAATAGATTCCAAATGCAGATACCACACTTAGAGTCATCTCCAAACTTTTTACCTGCTTAATTGATCAAGAAATAATGAAGGGGTAGCCCATGAAACCGTTTTTGATTTTTGATTCAATTGTCCAATTACTTTTGGTCCCTTGAAAAAGGGGAGGGGGCTACTCTTTATGAGCTGTAATTCCTAAACCATTCCTCCAATTTGGATGATTCAAATTAAACCTGAGAGTGTGCACATTCAGCCCATATCTATTATATAACTATAGCTTGAATATATTTTAGTAAATACCTGAAAAAATAAACAAAATCATGCCTGTGTCCAAATGTATATGGACCTAACTAGATCTCAACCTCTGAAAGGTTGCCTACCCCTGCCATAGACTATCAATTTACATAATCACACTGATAATTCATTAGCCAATAGGGAGGCAGCTAACCCAGGAAGCTGTAGAGCAAAACCAGGAAATGGTAGTCCCCTTTATGGCTATCAAGTATAGCAGGTGTGTGTGTGTATTAAAAGACAGAATTACAAGAATGATAATGGTTATGACAGCTTAGTAACTGTTAGACAGAAGGATATGTTCTTGTAAGGCTGGCCATAGATGGATTGTTTCCCCCCCCATCCACACAATCAAGGTGGGTAAAGGAATTCTCCCCACTGAAACATTGTATTCTGACAGCGGAACCCACCACTGTCAGAATACGCTGATCAGTGGATGCAGCCTATTTACAACAGCTTATCCCTTTAGACAAAGGTAGATGATTTTTTTTTTTTTATTCTTTCACAAGAATGTTAAGTTGTTTTTTAGGATGCACCTTTATGAATAACTTTGTTTCCTGTCTCTGTTGCTTCTGCAGGAAGGTGGTTGACACCCATAATAAGGAGACATGGGTTTCCAACGACACCTACTGGGAACTACGCAAGGAGCTTGGTTTTAGCAAAGTTGATTTACCTGTTCTTTGGTAATGTTTAGAACTATAGATTTGATAAATCAGTCATTATATCAACAGATCAATAACTATGCACAATTCAGTTTCATATCGCTGTAAAAAATATTTTTTTGTGATGCACAAAACCATGCCATTTGCTTTTTACGTTTGGTTTTAGGACATTTGCAAGAGTAATGAAAAATTCTGGAGTGATATTTAGATTGAGTGTGAGAAATAATGTATGTGGCTAGTTGCCTTTGCCCTCTATGAGGTTTATCTTGTACTTTCATCATTTTTGGCTTTCACTGACAAGGTGGCACACTGATTAGTGAAGTTACCTTAAGCAGTTACTATAGCAGGTGATTGGTAGCTGATGCACAGGAGGATGAACTATTCTGACTTCCTTTACAGCAACACTGTTGCTTGAAAGACCAATTATAAAAAAAACTCCCTGCATAAGAAGACTAACCTCCCTGCTGGAGTCCAAAATCTGTCTTAAAGCACAGCCTTCAGCAGATGACACTTGACACAGTTTTGTAGATGTCCACAGCATGGTTCTATCTGCCAGCCCCTACAGCACTACAGGACACACTAGTGATCCAGGGGTTAGCAGGAGCATCTTGAAGACAGCAGCCAAAGCTCTTGACAGCAATGTTCGCACTTGCTGCCAACCAGAAAGATGACCATATCAGTCCTCTTGTGTGGAGAATTGTTTTAGAAAGTATTTTTCAAGCAAGAGTTCTCACCTATTCCTGCTGTCAGTAGTTTGTAGTAGGAATCACTCTTCGTGTCGTTATGCCCCTCCTCCTGCAGCAAATGTAGATGGGAATGGTGACTGTCTCTGTAAGTAGAGGTACTGGCGATGAATATGTAGAAGGGTATAACCTTGTTTCTGTAGTATTCTGGCACCTTCGATAAAACTCTTACCTGTTCTTGAAAAAGTGGCCCTGTATGCACCTTATTTGAAGTAATGTACAAAAGAGGCCAATTATATTGTAAAGTGAGGTTTTCTAGGAATCTGCAGATGTTGGCTGCTCTCTAGATCATGCCATTCCTTTAAAAAAAAAATCCAAAGCCACTGGTTAACTACCTGTGCATTATGCAAAATGACCTGAAAACATTGGTGCTTGTTTTGGCAGTCCAAGCCATGCACCCTATATTTAGAAAAAAAAATAGCACTGGTTTCCTTAGTTTACTATAAAATGATCAGCCATTTACTTTAGCTATTCTCCTCAGAATTTAATTTGGTGTTTTTGAAATTTAGGATCTAAACACTTTTTTTTCTCTTAACGGCTACCATGTCTTCCTCTACACACCTGGTCTCTCATTAAAGCGGTATTAAACCCAAAAGCAAACATTTAATATATTGCAACTTGCCATTTCTTAGATGTGGTGTCTGCATTAGTTTTCTGATTTAGGCTTTCTTTCCTTTATTTTCACATGGTAATCTGGCCAGTAAGTCTGTGCTGTTTTTCAACAGAACAAGCTGTCCTGCAGCTGTGTAAATCTGGGTGCACATCAGGAACTGGCCAACTTTCGGTATGTGTGTACTCCACTCTGTGTCCAACAGAAGTCAGTCTAAGTCCCTCGTCACAGCGATGCGACTTGTCATGCAAGTTGATAGTTTCAAATTGCATGACAAGTCACACCCTATTGTCCGCAATGGAAGCGGTCATATCGGTGCGATTCTGACTACGTCGGAGTCTCAACAATATTGAAAGTTCTTCATGTACTACTCTTTGCATGTTCAAGTGCATAGACATCCGTTACTGTGGGATACTAATAGAAGTTTAAAGAACATCTAGTATTTAAACTGTGTATATATACATGAACGCACTGGGAGAGGAGAAAAAAGATGAGGGAGGTATCGCTACAGGCATATATCACAGTAATAACCAAGGAGGGGAAAGATTGGACTCAGTGTACCAGCTACAGACCTATATCTTTGTTGAATATCGATACCAAATTGTATGCAAAGGTACTAGCTAACAGGTTGAAAGTGTTGATGTCTGACTGGATACTCTTAGACCAAGTGGGATTTATCCCGGGCAGAGAGGGAAAGGATAATGGCCTAAGAACATTGCTTAACCTGCAAAAGAATGAAAGAGGAGAGGTACCGGGAATTATTCTGTCAGTTGACGTTGAGAAGGCCTTTGATAGAGTAGATTGGGGATATATGATTGACATGCTGAGAACATTAGGAATTGGGCCTAGAATGATGCAGTGGATAAAAGAGTTATATAGAAGTCCCTCAGCTGAACGTAAAGTGGCAGCATATGCAGACAGTATGCTTTTCTATATCGCTAACCCCAGATTAACACTACCGAACTTATTGAGAAAATTGAAAGACTATGGAGAGCTATCCAACTTGAAAATTAATCCCTCGAAAAGTGAGATTTTAAATATAAATGTTTCAAAGACTGAGAAAAAAAATTTACAAAAAGAATTCCCCTTTAAATGGAAAAAGTGAATGAAAGTATTTGGGAATAAAATTAACATCGCCTATAAAAAATCTATATCAGGCAAATTATATCCCATTAATAAATGAGATAAAAGATGAACTGAGTAAAACCTCTATGGGAAAGCTGTCATTGATAGGTCTGATAAATATAATTAAGATGATCATAGTACCAAAAGTTTTATATAAATTTTATATGCTTCCAATACCTCTTCCAGGGGCCTTTTTTTTCTTTTTTTTTGGTTTCTCCAAAAAATTACACTTAGATATATATGGACTAACAAAAAACCAAGAGTCAAATATGAAGTCTTATGCAGTAATAAAAAAAAGGGGGATTAAATGTGCCAGATTTTTGGAGATATAATTCGGTGCTACTATCACGAATTGTAGATTGGATATATAATGCACAGGGGAAAATTTGGGTAAAAATGGAGAGCTCACTTAGTAAGGCACCACTAGAAAAGTTTATTTGGATACCACAGGAATTTCACACTTGGGATGAGGACACAAACACTTTGACACGGAATGTATTTAGGATTTGGGATGAAATGCACAAACAGAAGGATAAGAAGTTTAATTCACTGTCAATACCGTTGGCGGGAACTAGGTTTTTTCCACTCAGAAATGATAATATTTCAGGGAAATGGGTAATTGATAGAAATGTAGGTTTAAAAAATATTGTGGATAAGGGGGTTTTATGTTCTTTACATGACTTGAAGGGTAAGAAGGAAATATTTTCTACACTGGATGAGTGGCGGTATGGTTAAATAAGACATTTTGTTGCAAAGCTCCTACAACCACTAAGGAATGAGGAAGAAATGTATCCTTTAAAGCAATTGTGGAGTACAAATAGAATACAGAAACCTATTACTTCAAAGATTTATAGAATCCTCACTGAAATAGAAGGACCAGTATCCCAAAAGTTTTTGGAAAAATCCATAGACATCTGACTTTGAAGTTGCGCAACTTCACTTGAAATTGCTCAATTTCAAAGTCGGATTTGGTGTTACCGGGAACTAATGGCCGGAAAACCAACATTCAGTCAACGCTTGCAGCCAATGAATGCGGGGCTGATCTGTGTATTCTGTTGAGGCAGAGCCCCTGCTGTCGGAATACAATAGCATAGCAGGGTGAAAATAGAAAACATTTTAAAAAGAAAACAAATGCAGCCACCTCATCTAATGATTGGTAAGCTGCAATATATAAAATTTGGGGTTTTGAGTTTATTATCGCTTTAATGTTTTCCATTGCCTGTATAATAACTGACAGATGTGAAGAGCTGTGTAAATTGTAATAACAGGAGTATGAAGAATTAGCAAATGTTTCATTCCATGCCCACTAAGTGTGTGTTTGCACATGTCCCATACAAAATTTTAACACCTTCTCAGATGAGTGAGGTCTTGTTTAATGAGGACAGTTAGGAACAAAGTTGCAGATTCTATATACTATTCTGCATTTTATTTAATTGTGTTATGGGCCAGGGAGAGGGGGCAGACCATAAAGACAGCCACCTCTTCTCAGATGAATGATTTATGGCTTCATGCACATGGGTGCATTTGCTGGAGGAGTATAAAGGGGCTGCATATTTCTGGTGCCCTGGATGTGCTTGAGCTGTGCACAGCCGCCCTTAGACATTAAACACATCCCTGCCGCCAAATTGTGCACAATTTTGCGTATGTATTATTTTGTTTTTCTGGGTAGGGGTCAGGCGCGCACACGCCCTACCCGCGCCACCATTCGCGGCCGTTAATTACCAGGTCCCGGCCGGTGATTACCAAGGATAACGTATATTATTACCAAGTATACCATGTTATTTTATTTTTTTAAAACTAAAAAACTTGCCTTTAGAAATACTTTATTATATGTTAAAGGTGAAGTTCACTTTTGTTGCATGTTACACCTGTATTTAGGGTGTAACATGCTCCAGCACTGCCCCACCCCCTTTTCCCCATGACACTGAACATGGGATTCTCCCCCCAACTGCTTCATTCAAAATCAGCGTAGATGGCAAATGAAGGAACTGCAAGTTTATAGTTTTTGATTCACTGCGAGGATGCTGATGAATGCCCTTGTAGTCCATTGTCCAGCTTCTAACAGAGAGCCCATACTAAGGCACAGGCCACAAAGCTGGAGGATGTGTCTGTAGGAACCTGACATTGCACCCGCAATTCAGTGATCACAGGTGCAATACTTTGCAGGCTCCTGGGGGAAAAATAATAAATACACACTTTTTTGATGTAAAAATATGTGCATTTATTTTTATGTAAAGGTGAACCTAACCATTAAGTCCGCATTTACATGACTATGGCCTACTCAGGAGTTTGGCTGTGCCTGTATCCTTTAAGAAGTCACACACATATGGAAGGTCCAGTATAGTTGTGCACTGTACTATGGCTTCATTGTCCTGCTCATTTCTGGCCATTTGCCTACAAAACCTGTTCCTTTCAGCCAGTCAGTAGAAATTAGTAAATGAGTATACGCTCTGTTCATTTTTTGAAGGTGAATGTTTGGAAAGAAGTTGTATCCTTGATGACCAGTCAAGTGCTAGCCAAAATCTGTTTTTTGGGGGGGTTTTTTTT